GAAATGTGTAACATAAATGGTAAATAATTGTAATAAAAACAGTCATATCAAAGATACATGATAATGAGGATGAGGATGATAATAATAATGATAATGATAGTAACAGCAATAATAATAATAACAACAACAATAAATAAATGACGCTAATAGTGATATTAATGATAATGGGATAATAATGATAACCTTCATTATATCAACAACACATAATAATGATTAATAAGAATGATAAAATAAGCATGATGATGATGAATGATGATAATGATGATGGTGATGATAATGATAATGAATAATGATAATGACAATGACAATAATGAATGGATAATGATAATGATGATAATGATAATGATGATGATGAAGATGATTAATAATAATAATAATAATAATAATAATAATAATAATAATAATAATGATAATGATAATATGACTATGAAAGTAATAATAATATGACTATGAAAATAATAATAATATGAGTATGAAAATAATAATAATGATAATGATTAATGAAAATCATGATAATCATAATAGAAATAATAATGATGATGATAATAATGATAATAATAAGAGTAATGAAAATTATAAAAATGATAATTATAATAAGGACAATGATAATGGTAATAATAATGAAAAGAATAATGATAGAAAGATACATTATCACTAATAAACATTAATGACAATAATCACAATAATAATGACAATAACAATGACAATAATACATAATGACAATAGTAATAATATATGATAAATGATAATGATGAATGATAATGATGATAATAATGAAAATGAGAATAACAAAAAAGAGCAACAATGATGATAACATTGACAATAGAAAATTATAATGATGGTAATGATTATAATTTTAAAAATAATGATAGTTTTAATAAGAATAATAATAGTAATACCAGAATGTCTTCAAGTCATTACTGCATTTCGGATCCTGTGTCGCCTGCGAAGGTTTTCTCGTTGAAGAGCTGGCCATAATGTTGACTTTCCTTTCGTAAGGGCAGACTCCTCGACCGGTCTATACAACTTGGCTCTCAATCATATATAGCAATTTCTCAATTATTTCTGAATCTCCTTCGAAAAGTCAGAGTTCTGCTCAAGCGAGGCCGAGAACACCCTTAAGGGAGCCTCGAGCGCAGACAACCGAGAAGGACCGATCAACCACTGCAGGGTCAAGGCGGCCAAGCGTCGAGGCGCAGCAGCAGACGGAGCCAGGAGTCGAGGGACGAGTCTGGCAGCGAATAATGTAGTGTATTTTGTATAGATTTTGTACGCAGTCTCGTGACTGTAAATATTTGCTAGACAGACTGAATCCTCACGTATTAATATAACGGCGGTTCGCAGTATGGTTCAATAACCCCGGATATAGCAGAAAAAAATATATTCCTAGAGTGAACGAATGATCGTGGAAGCAATTAGAAAAGATAAAGAAATAGCATCCGATCACATTTTATTAGAAAAAACTGTTTTTTTTTTTTTTTTTTGTTTGACTTTAGTGGCGTGACACTATTTGTATAGTATGCCTTTTTATTTGCCTTTTAAATTATGGGAATTAGTTGCGACATCAATAGCATTCTGTTGCATCAATAGGAATTCTACAGAAAGCACATCGTGTATGACAAACCTTTATTCTCTCATAAATCAGATAAAAGAAAATGAAAGCAAAGCGTGCATTAATGATTTTCACTGGAAACGTGTTTACCTAT